CTATCTCGGAGTCTTGTATATGATAACAATCCTCTAGTAACCTATAAAAGCTTTCCTTCTCTTCAGTTGTATGTCCTTGCTGAGGTGCATACACTTGATATATGTGGTACTTCTTATTTTGTATGTTCAGAATACATTTCATTAGTCTTTCACTGATTAAGCTCACCTCTTGGATATGTGGTGAGAGTCTGGGTCCTACAATCATGGCTACACCATAATTTCTCCTCCCTACATCTGTCCCGCTGTACATTAGTACAAAACCACCGCCGAGGTCTATGCTCTTTTCTTTACCGCGATGCCTTGTTTCCGCGAGTCCTATTATGTCAATTTTTCTTCTTTCCATCAGATCAAGTATCTCGTTTTCTTTGTTTTTGTAAGTAGCAATATTAATTGTCCCACATCTAAAAGTTATATCTTTATTTCCGTTATCCTTATTTCGTTTCCATTTTCGTTTCCGTGGTCGTCTTCGTTTGGTCCTTCCGTCTCTCGAGGCTAGTTCATGAGTTTTACAAGCAATGGTTATCCACTTCTGGCTTGCTAAGCCTATCGAAGCTTCTTGTTTTCAGGGCTGTTAATTAGTGCCTACTATGTGTCTATTGCTCCCTTAAAAAAGGTTACAGGCTTGCCTCCTCAAGCCCAAGCAGGCACAAAGTTGGTTTAAGCTGGTGCACTTCGACAAAGTTACGCGACCCCTTGTTGTGATGGATTGCTGTTTGGATGTGCAAAAAGAGGCCATCACAACCGCACCAGTAATAATATTATATATTAAAAAAAACTAATAGTATATATTAATGATGATGAAGAAAAATGTAGTGTAGAAAGATCAAATTTAAATAGGTAAACATTTTCTTTAATGTTAATTGTCGTAGTCTTGGATATTGGCATGTTGACGTCATCATTCCAAATGTGGGGAATTCCTAGGCAGGCCTAGACTTCCATCGTCCGATGCCACGACGAGGTCGCTACTCTACAAATATTGATTTTTTTCTATCTATATAACATTATTTTGATTACCAATCCCTAATATTTTGGCTTTAAAGCAATATTTTGGGTCATACTAAGCTATAAAAAAAACAACACTCCATTGAGCCCAGAGATGTTTATTCCGACCTAGGGTCTATTCGGCCCTGGGTTTGGACACACCTATCAGACACCCTGGGCCACCAATGAACGACCATAATGGGTAAGTATTTAACTAAGGTCCTGTCAGTTTTTACATTTATAGAAAAAAACATAAATATGTTTCCCATACCCCGATCTAAAAATTGGTATTTTAAAGTAATTTACATTGGGTTTACTTTATAGTAGTTCATCAATTATATATATGTTTTATTGTATTCCTGTATGTATAATATTGTTTTGAGATTGTATTTGTACTTTGATGACAATAAAATTATTTTTACATTAAAAACATAGTTTTTCCCGCCATAATTGACTCCATCTTGGAATTTGTCATGATGACGTCATCATTCCGAACAATTTTTTTAATGAGAGTGATGAGTAATTATTTAGCCAAGTTGTTGTTATATTTAATATCCACAGTATATGTAAAAGTGACTAAAAACATAAATTTATTTCCCCTACCCATCTTAAATAGTTTAAAATATGGTATTTTAGGTCAAAATTTCAAAGTGCTGTATTTCAAAGTGCATGGGGATATTTTTTCTGAGATACTAAAGGGTATGCTGATTCAGAAAAATCAAAAATAAATTTTCCTTTGCTTTTTTCCCGCTAAAGTTATTTCAGCAGTTTTACAACCAGGCTAATACGGTATATTCAAATTTATCGTTTAAAAATTCGTGTATATCAAATACATGAAAACAATGGCATAATTAATAACATTTTTTAACCAAGTGTATATACCTGTACATCTAACACTTCCGTTAAATTCACCATCATCACAGAATTCGATTAGGCCTTTACCATTGTAGTTAATACAGTCATCTCCACCATTTATATTTGACCCAACTTTACAGTTTAAGTCACCTAAGATTATTATTTTTGGGTCTTAATATTTTCTTTAATTGTTTTTCTCCGCTAGTAGTGATAATGTATATTTCGTCTGTTAATATTTTTCGTCCGTTAATATATTACTCACAAGGGAAATAAACTATAGCTAAAAATAATTTTATTTCAACGAGTTTTTTGATTTCATATTTTTTACATTTAAACCTGTGGACATTAGAATTGAGGTTATTAGTAATATTCGTTTTTCTTTTCTTGCCTCCTCTCACAGGTTTATGATTATTGAGCTTTCTCTTATTATTTATTACGAAGCGTTCATTATCTGCAAAATCATTGTAAATCTTCAATTTCTAAGTTAGATTTGCTTAATTGAATTCTTAATATATTACACCTTCTAACCTACTAACCATTATCACAGTATACTGAGTATCAGCTGCAAAGGAATTATTCAACTACAGGCTAAAATCTATGACGTAGTCTTAGTCTATTAGAGACGACACTGATTGACTCATCTAAATTCAAAAATACCGCAATCTGATGGTTCTAATTCATATTGCGCATGCTCTCCTTGGCTTGGAAGTGCGTCACAAATGATTAAGCTTGACATCTTCCGAACCTGAAATGCAGTACATCCAGCAGTCCTAACGCAGAAATGAAAGCAATGAATTTTACTCAAGACGTACACACGTCCCAGTGTCTGGGCAGCCAGTGCATTAGAGTTCAAACATGCATCTTTACCTGTCGTTCCATAAACTTTCTTAGATGTGTACACATATCTTTCTGAGAAATAAAAAAATTACAATATCTCCATAACAACATTTACTTAAAAATCACACGATTTATAAATATTGTCAAACACATTACAAATTAGGCCTACAATTTTGAGACTCAATCGGAATGTAATTGTTGTTGAAACAGGTTTGTGAAACAGTTGGTATATTTAATACATTGTGGCAATAATATAATCACTAAATTAACTGAATTGGTCATATTTAAGGTCTTTGCCCACGTATACGCCAGCACATTAAATTTATCAAAATAAAAAAAAAACTTATTTGGAATAACTTTGGTCTGTTTTTAACAACATAATGCAACAACAATTTAACAAATTTAATGTGAGTCTGTCACAATGTGAATTAATTTGTTGTTAGGTTAGTTTCACACTTGTTAAACTCAATGCAAATTAAGCTATTTCACCTGGTTATGCAAATAAGAGATTGAGAGTGCGAGTCAGAGAGAAATGGAATGAGGCAGAGAGTCTCGAGGCATGGTGGAGGTCACACACACCAGTTTTGTTAAGCCTACTTTAAGTATGGTTTTTGTTATGTGCTACTTTTGAAGCCTCTCCTAAAAGAGATAGGCTTGGTATACAATCTTTGAAGTCTATACAAAGGGAGGTTTTTTATGTGCTATTTGTGAAGCCTCTCCTAAAAGAGAGGGGCTTGGTATTGTGATGGATCGGAAAGTTTTCGTGAACCTTTAATTCCTTTAGATCACTTCATTGGTGGCGTGAAACAAGATTGGTCTGAAGATTACTTGGATAAGGAAGCTAACCTTATGAAGAGGGCTTATGATAGTTTCGCGCAGAATCAAATCAGCAGCAGCTAAGGAAGAGCATCGTTATAAGTCTTATTCTTCTGTTGAAGAATTGAAGATTGGTGATCGGGTTTTGCTTCGTCGAAGACACTTCAATGCTAGACATAAGTTGGCTGATAAGTTTGAAGAGCGTCCATATGTTGTTGAAACTGTCAACGAAGAAGGCGATGTTTTTGGTATTCGTTCTGCAGTTGGTGGTTCTTTAAATTATGTTAATCGTAGACGGTTACGATTGGATCCTAGGAGTGAGGCGGATGAATGTGTATATCTCGATTGGAATGAGTGGTTGCCAGTGAATGATGGTTTAGAAAAGGATGTAGCTGTAGATTATAAAGATGGAAGTTGTGAGTCTGAATCTGACGATGATGTTGAAAGTGTTAGGATTGTTGTAGATACGAATTCTGATCATTCGCGAGATATTGTGAGTGATGATACATCTAATGATACTAGTAACATTCCTAGGCGATCATCCCGTTCTACCAAGGGTGTTCATAAGAATCCATATCGGTTACCCATGTCTACACTCCAGAATTAATTAACTAAATAAATATTTGTTGGGTTTTGCTCCTTTTGGGTCAAAAGGGCATCCAAGCGGGGAAATTGTGATGGATCGGAAAGTTTTCCGTTATTTCTTTTTTTTTTCTTTATCGTTATTGGTGGCGCATTGCATTGCTATTGCTATTGCTTTTGTTTTATTGGTATTCGCGTGTACATTTGCATACCAGGTGGGGAATATAATGCATTGGCTGCGTGAGCGTTGTATCGACAGAAGTTTTTTGGTTTATGTCGGAGTAAGACGTTGTTCTTTTAAGATGAATCTTGTCTGATACTATCGATACTGTGAGTAAATTGATATATTCCTAATAATAGTGTGCGATTATATACAGTAATATTATTGATTATAATGACTGTTGCTAGTTAAATTGATATAATTATATATTTAATTTTTAATTAATAATGGTACTGTTAAGTAATGCATGCCTAGTTGGTTATCTGGTCTTGCTTATCAGAATAGGCCTACAGACGGAATCTACTGTTAAAAATCGGTACAATGTATGCGTTTACCAATGATTTAATTAATCTTTGTTTTAATACGTCTAGTTTCGTCCTGTGGTGACGTGTGGTATTAAGAGTGTTTGCTATGCCATGAAGTTAGTTCTATGAATTTGGTGTTACTGATCCAGGTATTGAGCTCGTTACTCTAATAATAATTGTTATTCTATATATATGTGTATATATATATACCATAATGTAATACGGTAGCTTTATGACATTCAAGTGACAATGTTATAGTGAGTGCATTTGAATTGTGAATGCTTATGTTATAATTAATTAGTTAATTGTTGCAATTGTTAATTATTGTGATAATGATATATTTATATAATTATATTTATGAATATGCTATTATATATTATAGGGTTTTTTCCTTGTTTGTATCGGATGGTGAATACCTGCGTTACTGTGTACGTCGGAATAAAAGAAAAGATAGTAATTGCAGTCTGGTCTCAAAACGTATTTTGTTCTTCTGAATGGGTATTTGGTCTCATCCACCAAACCTCAGTGGTCGAATCCGGACTAAATCAATACTGAGGCTTCCCGAACCACGACATTAACACAATAGTTATTCATCGTATCCGTACTGTACTGCTGATATGTGTAGTTAATTAAACGCGTACTGCAAGAGCAAAAATCAGCATACGCACAGCTAAATGTAAATACGCACACGTATACTGATCATATCACTATAGCAACCGATGACTGCTACACGAGTTGGTTATAAAAAACTAAAATTAAAAGACGGCGATTGACTTATAAAGCAATTAGTAGAGCATGCATCGTACACTAAAAGGAAAATTATTATATTAGGTTAGATTTGCAGGCCCTAAGAAAATTTTTTGAAGCATTAAATCTAACCATCGTATAATAATTTTCATATAGTGTACTATGCGGAGCTCTAGTAATTGCTTAATATTAGACTAGGCCTACTTGCCCCACCATGACAAAAGGGAGCAACTGATGTTTGCATTGCTTTGAGTAATTAAGGAATATGGAGCATGTTGATTTTGTCCCCTGCTTCCATTTCTGGTGGTTTTTACTGTATTTTTAGTCTCTTACTTCCTTTTTGTTTTGCTAATTACTTGTTAATTAGTGGGATTTGAACATACTTAATATCAATATGTTCCAAATTATTAGTTCTTTGACAGTGACTAAAAAAACTTGTTTTTAGAAAATTGTCAATTACTTCCTTTTGTCATGGTGGGGCAGTACTGTACAGAGTAGTAGATTCCAGAATTTATGTAATTTCATGGTATTAATTTACATTGTGTAAATAAAAATGAAAGCAAGAGCTAGTAATTTAACTTTTTTCTGATCACTGAATGTCAAGTATTTGATATTATGTGAAACATTTCAATAATATGATAATGAAGAATGGTGTTTTATATAGTACAGGAGCATACGAAAGGAGATGGCGTTTGATGTTAGCTAAGGTGTTAATGAATGAAGTGCTATGACCAAGCTGGTCATCAAGGGGTTAACCAAACACTTAGCCTAGCTAAGGAAAGGTGCTATTGGCCTAGGCGTTCAAAGAATGCAGAAGATTGGTGCCAACGTTGTGAAGGCTGTTGTGAAAAGTTTTTTCGAAGACTAAGATGGAATCAAGTATTAAAGAACCAATTTCAAGTATCAGAGTGTCACAATGTGAATGAATTTATTGTTAGGTTAACTTCACACTTGTTAAACTCAATGCAAATTAAGTTATTTCACCTGGTTATGCAAATGAGAGATTGAGTGTGCGAGTGAGAAAGAAAGAGATTAGGCAGAGAGTGTTGAGGCATGGCACATGTCACACACACCAGTTTTTGTTAAACCTACATTTAGTGAGGTTTTGTATGTGTTTTTATGTGTTGCTTGTGAAGTCTCTCCTAAGAGAGCAAAATTTGGTATGCAAGCTTTTAAGCCTACACAAAGTGAAGTCTTTTATGTGCTACTCGTATGCAATCTTATGTGTGCTCTGCTGAGATAGGCGAATTATTTTCCTGTGTGATTATTGTATCCTGTGTGGATCATTTGAATACTGTCCTGTGTTTACCAGTGAATTATTGTCCTGTGTGGACTATTTGGTTACTGTATCCTGTGTGGATCGTCTGAATATCCTGTGTGGACCAGCAGAATATTTTCCTCTGTGGACCAGCAGAACTTTGCCTTGTGTGGACCAGCAGAATAGTGTATCCTGTGTGGATCATCTGATTACTGTTTTGAGTGGACTGTATGGTTATTTGTGCCGTGTGGACCAGCGGAATACTGTGCGGTGTGGACTGCCTGTTATTTGTTCGTGTGGACCGGTTGATTACTGTGATGTGTAGACCAGCAAACTTAACTATCCTGTGTGGATTGTGCTATTGTATTTTGTCTCTGTGTGAGCAGGAAAACGCAGAGGACTTAATTTCTGACTTCTAGACACTCTAAAAAATTTATATAAGTAGTGTCTTTTTTTTTATTGTTATTATTATTGTTGTTATTGTTGTCATTATTGTTATTTTTATTATTGTTATTAAATGTTTCTATTGTTATTGCTATTGCTATTGTTATTATCATTACTTGTTAAATTGTTAAACATGCTGGTGTGTAATATTAAGTAAATAGAAATGTGACCAGCAGATCTTAGTTGTTTTATCATCCTTTTGAGTTTGGTTTTGACAAACGACTACTACGATGACTTTGGCCCGATCTGTGACAAATGGGGGCTCGTCCGGGAAATAACCAAATGTGGTGGTAGTTTCGTTTGTCTCTATTTAATAACCAATTACTAAGTTTATTTTAAAGACAATGTGAATCTGCCAGTTGGCGTGTATTTCGGATGAAATGTGAATGTAAAATTGTATTGTGTTTTGGCTGCTCTATTAGAGGTCTGGCAAACCAATATGGATTTTGAAAATATTAAATTAGGGATAGAAATTGGATAAGGAGATGATTTGTTAAAATTTGCGAATGAAATGGAGGTAGTGGAACAAGAGCAGACTGCACGTGATGAGCGCCAAAGAGTGCGTGAGCATGAGCGAGAAAATGAAAGAGCATGAGCGAAAACTAAAAGAATTCCATCTTAAGATTGAGGAAGAGAAGTGCTCTTTTGTGAATGCTCAGTCTGTTAATAATGTTAAGCCATTGAAAGCTAAGTGTCCAAA